ACGTGTATGAATTGGTTTTTACTCGAGCACATATATGTATGTTTAGCAATTTTTGCACATCTTACCTATCACTGTTCCTTCTTGTGTTCTTCACAGAAGCGAATCCGGAGAAGTTTAACAGCCGTTTGAAGAACAAAATATTCTACGCCGGAGTAAGTGAACGCACAGTCCCAGACGTGTCGATTGTGTGAACAGACATCCTACTAGACAGTAAAAGCGTACCTCTTTTCCATGAGTTTTACTCGTTTCTTCGTTTCTACGGGAAAAGGTACTTCGCCCGTCTTTCTCTCACTTTCGTCTCAATCCCGCGATATACAGAGGTCGCCCTGACTGGACACACGTGCACGAATTACCTGGCTTATATTTTCTGTTCCTTCAATGATCCAAACTGAAGTTTTGCCGTCAGATAAAAATCCCATTAGGAGGAGAGGCTTCTATTTCGCCTGTTCTCCCAGCTTGGCAATTTGTTTGCAAACGTTCCATCATCAGCCGAGGTGACATCATCAGTGCCTGTGAAGTGGCTTCCTCGCGGTTCGATAGCATACTGTGGTTTCCTTTTCGCATCAGGGCTGGGACGATTATTTGTCGGATGGTTTGTTTCGCATCTTCAGGTATTGTGGACGATTTGAGAGTTTGTTCCAGTTCCGCCAAGTATTTCTTGTTTGTGGCATTTCTGACGTTGAAGTTCAGTCCTTTATTGAGGATTCGTTTTTCATCCTGTGTGATCACGCGATTGGAGAGATTTCGGACCCAGTTTTCATTTCCATCCACAAGCATATGATCATTCAACTTGTGGAGCTTTCTTGAGTGCCAGTTTTCTTTTTATTTTGACATTTTTGACGCGTCGACTTATTGCATCTTCAAGCTGTTTCATCTGCGGTTCGTTCAATATAGTTCGACAGTTCTCCTGTTCTTCTTATTTAACCTCCTCGTACTTGATTAGACGTCTGTGAGCATCCGAGATCATCATGCACACCATGTGTCTTCCGAATAGGTGTGAAATCCTCCAGGCTTCCGGGTGATTGATCGGTGGTCTATGGTATACACTCCGTGGAAATAGATTGCGCCGTAGGCGTTCGTGAAGAAAAAATAGCTGCACGTGAGTGGAGGCTTGAAAATCGGTTCTCGTAGATCGGGTGAACTGAAATTCATTTCACCTGTTCGCCGAGCTTTGCAATTTGTTTGCAAACGTTTCATCATCGGCCGAGGTGACATCATCCGTGCTTGTGAAGTGGAAACTAGAACTTTCAAGAAAGCCCCACAAGTTGGATTATCATGTGCTAATGGATGAAAATGAAAACTGGGTCCGAAATCTCTCCAATCGCGTGATCACACAGGATGAAAAACGAATCCTCAATAAAGGACTGAACTTCAACGTCAGAAATGCCACAAACAAGAAATACTTGGCGGAACTGGAACAAACTCTCAAATCGTCCACAATACCTGAAGATGCGAAACAAACCATCCGACAAACAATCGTCCCAGCCCTGATGCGAAAAGGAAACCACAGTATGCTATCGAACCGCGAGGACAAAGCACTCAAAACACTGGAGATGGACAAAAATATCGTCATCCTACCAGCAGATAAAGGACGAATTACTGTGGTTATGAACAAACCTAACTACATTCAAAAGGCTGGACAACTACTCCAAGACACAGACACCTACCGCAGAATGGACACGTACCCCACCCCAAAACTGGAAAATAAAATCAATACCATAATAAAACGACTGGAAGAACTGCATCAAATAACCAAAGCGGAGCACTGGAGGACGAG